CTAATATACTGTTACACGACTAAATTATTTTACAATTTATAAAATGGTACTTATGATCCCTGTAAGTGGTAAAATTCTTGTTGTACAGCGTGTTTTAAATTTTTGCTACAATTACATAAAAATTTAGGTAGATTCTTCTATTTTCTTCTGATGCAAACTCGATCTTCACAAAAATTATAAATAATGATAGAATATAATGTCGAAGCAGTAATTTGTAATACGCTGTATATTTAAACTAATTGATAAGAGATTAATGAAAGTATGTATTAATAAAAAGTATTTAATTTTAGTGCAATAAAAACTAATGAAACTACTTAAGTGATTCGATAAAATTTCGGTTTGAGTTGTATACATATGTATTCAATTGCATTTGTACGTTACTACTTTATTAGTGTTTTGTACAGAAACTATAACTAATCTCATTTGTATTGTTTTTGTCCATCATGTTTGCTAGTGTGCCAAATGATCTCAAGTGCGCCGAAGAACATTTTCAATGTACAAAGCTGGAAGTTTTTTATGTCGTGGGCACATAGACAATCTGAAATCTTAAAAAAAGGAGTGGATAACTTGCGACAAATTTCAGTGGAAAGGTCAAAATACTTAACTAGGAAAAAATTTACTGCAACAATTTTTAAGTAGAATTCACTAAATCTTTTTCAATGAAATTTGTATGACGGGTTTATTTGAATATCATTTCGAATTTTTGTTTAATTTCTTTAAAATAATAAAAAAGTAATTAAATACAAAATCTGTTTTTTAATGCTAATTCTTGACCCAAGACTTTTTTAACAAACGAATGTTCTGCTTTGTTTAAAAAAAGTATAAAGAATCCTACAGAAACCAAAAACTCAATAATTTTTACGAATTATTTTACTATATTCCTACATACATGTTACAATAGTTTCTAAATAGTTGCAATTTAATTAACAACTTCTTCGAATTGTTACTACAACTCGTAACTCAAAGCAACAGTTAGGCTCTAATTTAATATGGAAACTGTACAGTTTAATTAAACCTATGTATGTATGTATATTAATCAATAAATTCGTTGAGGTTAATTTTATAAACATTAGATGAAATTTCGAAAAAGAGAAAGTTTACAAAAGCATCATTAAATTTAATGCAATTTTCCTTAATCCATCTATTCGTTTTCTCATATTTTTCCGAGGTTATTATAGACCCACTAACTTTGATTGTTATGAAACTTTCTATTATTAATGATGATCTGAATAACAGACCCCAATTAAAATCAACGCTCTCATTAGAGATATACATTTTGGTGGCCAAAGGACGCCAACGAACTCCTCCATTAGAACCCAAAAGTTATCTATGCCGGCACGGATTGCTTGATGTATATTCCAAGCATCAACGAATAATCAATATATTCTAATGACCATATCATGCATAGATTTATTATGCGGTAGAATCATATAAATAAAGTACTACCTAGTTGGGATCAGTTGCTCCAACCTTTGCTAACTTTGACCTGCTTAGACTTCTTGTAAACTACACGAAGTTTAAGTTCCTTAAAATCAAATATAGCCGCAGTTGATCCTTCTTGCTCAATTATTCAAAGTTAAACTAAACACTGCTTAATTGCCTAACGTAATCAAATGAAAATTTAATGAAAATTGCTTATTCAGGAATATTCGGAATTTTAATTGCCATCATTTTTATTGGTGCCCATATAAATGAGCAATCTTTATTCAAAACGATCAGCTATTCCTCTGTTATTACATTTTCGTCCACATTTTTAATCGTTACGCCGGCGAGCTACGGTAAATGTAGGAGTTTTCAAATGACTATCAACATTTAAATGGAAAACGAAAAGCTTTATTGTCAAACAAACGCATAGTTTGTTTTTTTACCAATGTGAATTTTGCATTCAACATGAAAATATAAACACGACTAGGTGTAAATATTTTATTTTCTATACAGAAACGACTACGTGAGTCTTTTATAGATATATTTCTTAACGCATCGATGTTAAACACCTTTCCAAAGGGTTTATTGGTCGGTGTAAGAAACAAAAAAATTCATGTCGCGTTTGTGACAAAAATTATTTATACCTTGGGATTTCTGATATTAAAGCGAGCAGAAAATTGTCGTTCTAAGTCGTAAATCATTAAAAACGAAACATCGCTCTGACCCAGTGATCATCTGTCACATGTGCACGCGATCAATACCGAAACGTTGCCTCTTCAAATATGAAACCTGAAATACCGGATGTTCCACTAAATTGTCTGCATTTCCCCAGCTTATATCTTCTCAATCGATTCCCGTTATTGCCTTTTTTTTATTTCTATTAGGTACGTTTTTCTTTTGAGCGAAAATTGAGTGCTAAGATGACACGTGTATGTTTTGAGAGATTGTTCCTTATCCGATCAGAACTTTTGCAAATTCGCTTTGTATTGACATTATTATTGAAGTTGGAAGTTCTCTGGCGAAAAAGGATTTCAAAAGATTTATCCAGGTATTTGTTATTTTAATAGGTTTTTTGTTGCCTTACGGGACTATTCGCAGGAGTCTGAAGCAATAATAAACATTTTGTATTCAAGCCGAATAATTATTTGAATATGATGTCGACTAAATCAACAGATTAACTAAATGTGTATGGTAAATACTGTAAAACGTTGAACATGCAATTTCGTGATCGCTAAACGGGATAATACGTATGCAAGTTGAAGGTAAACTGAACCAAACTTTAATTTATTCTCATAACAGCGAAGCGCATAACACACTATTAATCATTTTTAGATATAAATTACTTTTTATAGTTTATGTTTAATTAAGTTTTAATTGATAGAATGTGCAAATAGCGTTTTATACCTTCATGTAAAGCTTACGTCGAATTCGTGACGAGCGGCAATTTTTCATCCATCCATCAAAGTAGAAAGTTGGGACACAAATTACAAAAGCTGAATCAAGTATAATAAGTTAAAGTCGCCCGTTGCAACTGATTATTGAATCTTGATAAATGATCTGAAAGACAAGTCTAGTGTAGACAGAAAATAATCGTATCTTCAGCTCGACAACGGATTTCAAATTGATTGATTTTCTTTTGTTTAAAAAACTCTTCTTTGTAACCACCATTTCATCTTTCTATAGGATAACAAAGTGGCTATTGTCGAGGGAACCACTTATTTCAAATAACTTTTTAACATTTTATTTCGTTGGCAAACTCCATAAAAATGCGTATAATTAGGTGATTAGTCGAGGTCTTATATATTCGTACGGCCATACAACATTTTTTCCGGATTATTGGCTTGAGTGCTACTGACGCCGGAATCATTTATAAATTATCCGCTAGCAAGAGCTTTCCTAATCCTCGCCGAAACCTTCATAATGGTTAAGTAAATCGCAACAGTCTTCAGAAAGAAATCAACCAAATAACATTTTCACAAAAGCGTAAACTTCTAGTATTTGACTTTTACAGATTCGATCCCACGATTTCCATACATATTGGTTTCTGATATAAGACATGGCTACACTGAGTGGAGAGGAAGGAGCAAATAAAATAAAAGTGTCCAACGTTTTAACACCCCTTTCTCAAGAGTTTAGAGATATATATTTGCACTCTTTGCAGTTTTCAATAATGTGGAGCCGGGTCAAAATAAATTTCGTCGGGAATTTAAGCAGCGAGTCGTAAGTACGTGCAGTGTGCAAGAATGCAAGAGGCTATTAATAACTTTACACAACCAAACTCACTGCTCTTTGTCGGATATTAAATCAATAGGTTTCTCAGTGAAACACAAAAAAAGGCTAAGTGGAAAACATGGGAAAATTTTTGCTGCAGACGGTTGTGTGCCGAGGGGAAATAAGGAAATGGCGAAATAAAGTATTTTTTTAAATCGATATCTATTGAATCAAATGAAATTAGACGGTAAAATTTGGCATAAAAATCTCCCCAAATTTGTTTTCTACTAATAAAATTGTTTATCGATTAGCAATATTCCAATACATTGCACTTCGCAGTCTAATCTAAAATTGAAAACAACAGTTCGGAATCTAAGCATTTATTTAAAATCACAGTAATACAATGCTTCAATAATTTTACATTTTTTTGGAATAGATTCTCTTATGTCAGTCAATTAACAATATTTTGATCTGCTTTGCAGTTTTCAAATAAGCTTTAAATAATTATTGTAGTAATATTTATACAGACTATTTAGAATTCAATTTATTAAAATTGGTTATTTGAATTATAACAGAATAACGCTATGCGAAATGAGCGTTTATTAAAATTCGTATACCAATGAAAATTGTAAATTGCCTAATTTGCATTAAAAATGATAGTCTGTTAATAATTAGATTTAGTAATTCTGCACAATTTGGTTAGTGAGAGTTTGTAATGACCTACTTATCTTTTAAAAAATTGAAACTTAAATTTAATGGTTTACGAAAGCAATACATTACATAGGGTGTTTTACGATTATTGGATAGGGCAGAATAATAATATCCAGTTTTATATCCAATTATTTATGAAACACCCTATATAAGCATGCACTTATAAATTATAGTATATTAGCAAAATTAATTACTAAGTACAAAATCTCAAACAACTAACCTAAAAGTATTGTCTAGGTCGAGTCTTTGTTATAATACTAAATGAAATTAGTCTGTCTCAAAATTGTGTATTAATATATTTTAAATATTTAAATTTTTATTTTTTTTATAATTAGTCACCTAACCTAAAAAAATATAGAATAGACAGACATACATCTCTATTTTAATTATTTACTATTTAAAATATATTTTTCAATCTGCCTACTATCTAATTGTTTTTTATAAAGAGACAACTCACGTTAAAATTTTGATCCTTATAGAAAATTGGAAAAATCAAATAAAATTGTCGAAACAATATTTAGAAGCCAATATTATGTATAGGTATCTTCCAGACCAATTAATTGTAATGGTCGTAAGATATATTGATTGTCGTAAGGCACTATACAAAAAAATCAAATAACATAATTGTACTTTTATATCTAGTAAAAGTCGTGAAAAGACGGGGATGTTTTTTAAATTTTTTTTACGACCGTACCAGTATCTGATTCTTCCGAAGTGGGAGTTGATTCCGTACTGAAGGATTCTTTATTCATGCTTGGAGTTCTTATCAGCATGGGTATTTGTGATTTCTTAACGTTCTTGTTAACTGGTTTATCTGTGGCATCGATCTGTACGTCCGCCTTCTCTATTACTTCCTTATATTCTTTTTGATCTGGTTTAGTTTCGTCCTTATTAGTGTCTTTTTGATCCGATTTTACATCAAATCTAGCATCTTTTGATGAGAGAGATTGTTGGTACGGTTGATTGTCGGGTACAACAACTCTTGGAATAGTCTTATTAATTTTCTCTTCGGATGGTTTCTTTGACAACGTCGGTTTAATGACAACTTTCGGACTAATAACAGGTTTGTTTTTTTTCATTTCCTTGCCAAGATCATCCGATATTTTTGCAACTGGTTTTTTGGATTCGACATCGTCTGTTGTTTTTGTAGCAGGTTTGTTCTTAGGCAGGATTGGTCCCACAAACAAAGTACTGCATTTAATGGCAGATTCCTGTTCGTTTTCCCTGCAACTTGATTCGGCATTGAAAATATCCTGCGGTTCGCTGGATTGTTTTGTAAGAGTTGCCGATCTCGGTGGAGGTGCAGGAGGAACCCGGCTAAAATTGCTCAATTGATATGGATCTTGACTATTAATCAATGCGCACACAGGCATTGATCTCCGATTGTTGATCAGTCTATCAGGGTAATCGGGCAAAACTTTAGGAAATTTCCTTCTTCTGATCATATCTAATGATTCTTCAGGGGAGAGCGGAGAAGCAGCGTTGTTATCTTCTCTGGAAGTAACATTAATGTCGTCTCCTTCGGGATTAAATGTTTTTAGTTTTTTTATTTGGGAGTATATTACATCCTGTACAGGATCGGAGTTAGAATGCTTGTGTTCTATTTTGATTAATGTAGGTTCGTTATGGTATTCGGGTGACTCCATTGGTGAGACATCATCTAATGTTATTGATCTTCTTAGGGAAGGTTTTGCTTCATTGTCGATATACGAGTAATCAAACGACTTCATTATTTCAATGGGCTCTTGTCTGAGAACGCTTTGTCCTCGTCCTGACGGCGTAGCATCTATACCTACCGATACTTTCGGAATTTTCGGTCTTGTTATGGTGGAAGTTTTCATTGCAGTTTCTTTAGGAATATCAATTTCTTGTGGTAATAAACTCTTATTATGTACTATTGAGTGCCGATTATCCGACTCGTCTTTCCGGTTTTTTCTAAGAATACGCGGGCTGTATTTTTGAATAATCTCCTGTGTTATCCATTCTCTAACTTTTGTATGCGCGTCTATCGTGCTGCCAGACATTTGTCTTGTGAGTTTATACTTTGGGCTTGTGTCCGGGCTAACGGCTTCGTAAGTGTCATCATTCACCGATGATTTATTTATCATGCGAACAATGTTGCAACCATTCAACATGTAATCGTCGGTATCGGCACGAAATTTTTTATCTTCAGCTGCTGGCGGAGTCGTTAAATTCTTCCTCTTCTTTTTGCATTTATAATACACAATAATCAATAAAACTACATTCGCCAAAAGGAACAATCCGCCCGCTACTGCTACGATATTCATGGTCGAACTTTGTTTTACTTCTTCGGGAAAAGATTCAATGACTTTCCCATAAATATTTTCCTCGATATTATCTGGTCTGTTGCCGCTCGTAACGACAGTTCCGAACACAGAGGGTGAGTGTTTCAATGGTTTTCGGAAATTTTCGTATATATTTTTTGGATTCGCGGTGGGTGTGTTGGGTAGATTGTTGTATAACCATGGTGGTGGAGTACGGTGTATGGGCGACTTAGTCGGATGTGCTGCACCGAACGTGAAATTCTCCGTTATTGTAGGAAATATTTCATTCCAATATTTCACTTTAGACGCACGGTAATGCTGACCAGGCTGCGGTGGAATGTCTAAAAATATAATATTTTAGGTATTTTGTATATTAACAATTTATCTTATAAGTTTTACACATTTTTGTTTATAGTACCTAGAGAAATACTATTTTGTAAATTTTCTTTTAGTTTGAAATTAATCAAAAGTTCATCTTCGAATGTTCTAACAAATATTCTTTACGTCAGATTAAAGACGAAGTGGTTCTTAGTTTATTTTCGACAAACAAGATAGGCTAATATGTAAAAGCAATTTAACTTTTCCTTATTACCTAATTCCAAGTATCTTTCTTCTTTAAGATCAAATTCCGGCCATTCCACGTCAAACTGGGGCCAATACGCAGGACTCATGGTATTGTAGCGCTCCCTTCGAGGGACGTTGGGGTTCCTACAAAGTGAAGTTTTAACATGTTAAACAAAATTTGATGAAAATTGTAGAATATTTCGCAGTAGGTAATTTGAATTTTCACTTATTCACAAAATGAATATCCAAGCTATCTACTTGGGTTATAAATAGCTAGACAAAGGTCGAACTCTGTAGTTATTCAACATAAAAAATATTGAAAAAAATTTAATTAATTAGAAATTGGGAATTTTTGAAATGGCAAAAATCGATGTTCGATGTGAGCAGAACAGACGCTATAATGAAAAACTCAACTAGCAAATTACATCTTTTAAAATTCATCTCTCCTGAATCTGCTTTATCCAGAAGCCACCGTTTTCTAAAAACGTACAACCCTCGTTTTTTTCAGGATGAAAGGCTAATTTGGTTACTCATTTTCCCGGCGAAACTGTTTTATCAATTCCATGAAAATTGAAGATAAGACATCGCTTTAATCAATTTTTAAATTTTCAGAATTTTTTCAGCAGGTAAGTAAATAATGTCAAAAGAAAATATGAAAAAGACATTATTATTTATTATTTTAATCGTGTTTAATATCGTACATAATGACCAAAATAATGAAACCCTATATTAATAACTGTTTTTAATATCCTTTCATAACTTAGCAACTTAACGCAAAGAAATCTATCATTCTCTGGAACGCCTATTAATTCTGTCGTAATTAACCTTATAAGCGGAGTTGACAAGATACGCAACATCTACAAATTTAGAAGTAGCAACTTAATAACACTAAACAACTCATAATACCACTCGCTAAGAGAACATCCGGTAGCGCAAATTCCATCCACTAAAGCTAATTCTAATTTAATAACGGCATAGCTTCACTTACCCTGTTTCCGCGAAGTTGGAGAAATACATCATAACTATTTCTGAGAACAGACGTTCTTGCTCCTTGTAAGAGTCGACGAAATGAAACTTCGGCCCGCCCAGAGGTACCCCGAATACGTACGGCAGCTCTTCGCCGCTGTAACTCTTTTCTCTCTGAAGGAAATTTAAAATTAGTTCACTAAAATAGATGCACCGTTTTAAAAATGGCCCATTAACGTTTCCGGCGCGAGGACTTTGTTGTCTAACGGGTCTAACCCAACATGAACGCATGAAGATGTTTTTACACAAAGAACGAATTTCATTACGAATTTTCGATAGACCATCGCATGCATGAAAATTTAAGGTATTTAATATGTGCAACGTAAGTCGATTCCAGGAAATATGGCTTAATAACTAATTAGCGTCTTCACGAGAGTTGATTCATTTTTAATTATCTAATTACGAATTTAGTATCCAGTATTCCGTTGCTCGGCACAAGAGTATGTAAGCAATGAGCACCTAGAAAGATTACATAACACTGGGGACGTGTAATGTCCTCTAGGATACATACTGCTCATCAGGGAAATGTTGAGGAAATTTTATCACACAACATCCGAACCCTGCTTTGCGATCCCGCTGCATTTTGTGTACAATTTATTATGCTATGTAATACGGCGTGAGCCAGATCCTCCTGATTCTCCTATTTTTTATGTGGTCACCAAGAAAATATTTAGTACGTATTTAAAACGATATTTTTTATACCTATAAAGTTTCTAATGTACCTTAGGCAGTTTAACGATTTATATAAATTAGAAACGAAAGAAAAGCGTAATTTAATTACACGAGCTATTGCATGTACCGCCGGTACATCTCATCGAGGGATCCAGTTTATTTTCTTCCAGTTTGCACCCGTCAATGCTGAAAGTGAGTGATAAGACAGCGCCCTAAGATTTATTACCTTCCTGCAACATACCGCTACCTGATAGATACCAACGAATTTCCGACTTCGAGATTTAGACTCTAATTTACGTTTCGTGCTCCGCCGAGTCCTAAATTCCTGCTTAGAAAAATGTCTGCAAATTCGTTTGTCTATTTGTACACTTTTTTTGCATCATTGCTATCCCATTACAACTACGATTTGATATAATGTCGATCTTAATTTTCTTTGAAAATAGATATAAAAATACTTGAAGGTGTACATTTTTTCCAAGAAATTACCCAGTTAATTCGTAATCGCAGCAGGAAATCCGGTTTGTTAAAGCAAAGTCTAACATCAAAAATTCATTACGTATGTATCAAGCCTTGATTTTAATAAATTAATTCATAAGGTACCTATTAAAATTAATTTCTGTGAAATTTATGGGGTGGTTAACAGGGGTTTAGCGAATAAAGGGTATGCGTACGTAATTTATTAGACAACTTTACAAGAATTATTGATGGGTACTTGTTAAAATACAATTAACATTTTTCATTTCAATGAATTGAATATTTTTATAAATAAGCTTAAAGAATATTTTATTTCTAGATACATTATATCACATTATCCTTACGCAGACTTTCATGCAGACAACTTAATTAATGTCCACAGAATTATAACTGAGTTTTTGGCTCTTTAATTAAATCATCTGAAATTTTGGGAGAAATTCGACACGAAATAATATAAAAACGTGAACAAAAAACAACCTTCTTGACGTCTGCTACAAGTTAGGGGCTTGTGATCGATAACAAATTACGATTGGAAGAACGATTTGCTCAACTACATGTATTAAAGCAATCTACACTTGAGGGTGTTTCGAAACGAACCGGGCTAAATGATTATGGAACTCGATAATTTTCTTCTACATAGTAATTTGCGATTAATTCACTTCTTGATGAGTTTATTATGACAAAAAATGAAATATAGAAACCTTCGTATTAATTTTTAATCCAAGTCGTTTAATAAAAATCATTTTATTAAAAGAAATCTAACTTGAAAAAATCATTACGAAGAAATATCCTGAAGTAAATTTATAACCAGAATTTACCTAATGTAATTATAATATTTTTGACAAGGAATTCGTTTTGCAAAAATCGAATGAAAATGAAAAACCCATTCAATCAAATATAAAATATTCCGAAAAATATCGTTTTAAATTAATAAAACGCTGAAATTTCCAATAAAGCCGGATGTGCTCGAGAATTGGTTTAAGGGGCGAACGGTACGCCAGGGAAATTCAATAATTACCAGTTTGTACGGAAGATTTTTTTGGCTTATTCAAATATTAGAGATTTACGAAATATCATTCAACATAAATATTGAATGGTAAAATAAATTTATTATTAAGGACTAAATTGCGTCGATATAAAAGTGAGAAGTGAAACTTTTTATTTCAATGAAACAAAATCATTCAACAAAATAAGAAACTGATAGGATTTTGACGATGATCAAAAATAAACATATGAAAGTAACATACCATATACTTTCTAAATTTAGTTTACAAGTATTTTTGTATCTCTGGTTTGATGTAAAGTGGAAAGTTTTGTTGACTACAAAAATCGAGATTTAATTCTTCTTAATGGAGTGTTAACAATATTTAATGGAATTTATCCTTCGGTAATGAAGTTCGAAATTTAACACCGGCAGAAATATTCATTTAATTTAGCGGATAACCAGCAATAAATGTCGCTTTAATTTAATATTAGTGTTTCCGTTTGTCGTGGTAAATAGCGAATACTTTTAATCTCATGCAAATGCAAAACCACCACATAATAAATATAATTTATCTCATAAAGTAAATTCTAGCACTATTAAATGAAATAATCTCGTTAGCTAGTGATCAAAATTCTAATCGCTAATACCAACATTTCGGCAAATAAGCTAGGATTTCATAAATTAAGTTAAACTCTCTGTTAATGGCTTGTTTCGTTTGTTTGCAAATTTCGCACAAATTCCCATCAACATCCTGCATTTTTATCGCTATACAAAAACTGAGCCGTTTCGGAATCAGGTCGCACACGTCAAACTCGGAATATCTACGACTCAATTTGAATTAACATATGTACCTACATTTCCAGAAAGCTCGATTTTAAATTTATACTACAAGCGTTCCTTGATCTCTCTTGCACTCGTGTAAGTGTCTACTTCGTTTTTATGTATGACGTTCGCGCCCTTAAAGAGCTTCGACTTGGTTTTATTTATGACGCTATGCGAGAGATCTTCGCAAATAGACGCAGAAAAATTGGAATAGCAAAACGAGTGTCGACTACTGTTTCGTTATAAGAATATAATAAATTACTTTGAGATCTGAGACAAACTATTTTATTAAGAATTCTCATCGTGTGCATTATAATTATTGCTGTGTTGGTTAACTAATTTAACAATTACATACGCACAAAATTGAATATTACCTTCATCCTTCATATGTAGCATATGTTTCCTAAAGCGTGTCCGTGAGGACCTTATTGATTAGATGCCTAGTGAATTAATGACTTGATGGCAGCGATTGTGTTGGTTATGTTAATCCAATTTTGTTGGAATTAGTTAAACCAGTAATTATTGTAAACCTACAGCCTACAGTAATATTAGGTAACGAACACTTATCAAGTTTTTTTGTGAATAATTAATAGAAAGATTAGTATAATTATTTTTCTTAGCAGTTTTCATATAAGGGACTTGAGCTGTGGCTTAGTTTATGGTTTAAGAAAAAAACCCGTCCACACCTCTGGAACAAGAGATATAAACGTAGGAACAATAGCTTTATTGGGCCATTTCCCTTTTGTGAACCAATTTCTGGTGTTGTCATAATAAGATAGGACTACTATCGCGGTTAATCGTTCTTTTGTTGTTCTTAACCTAATATCATTGTATCGGGAATCAGAGGTCGGCATGAATACAACTTGAGCTTAATTTCCGCAATATTCAGTTTGCTCGGCGTTCAGAAATGACTACAAGCTCGAAATCTCTATGAAAAGGTCCGCTGGGATTAATTTGGGGAATAGTAACGTTGCAAATGCGACCCTTCCTATCAATGAACGAGCAGATGAATTGTTACGATTGTCATTCCAGGGTTACGGTCAGTTTGATGGTTTACCAAAAATGTTCCGTCTCTTTGTCTCGCTCCTGCTTTTCGATTTCTCGAAGGTGTTTGAAATATAAAGGTCACTGCAGTAGATTAATGGTTTGTTGCGGGCGAGAGCATTTACTTAGAAAACAAATTAATGACTACGATCAAGATTAATGTACTGTTTCAATGTAAGATCATTGTTTTGTAATTAGAAGCAATAAGAACAATAGAACTATTATGATGTGTCGAATTAAATTCCGCTTTCTACTATGATAAATATTTTTGTTAAGATTTGCTTGAGTTTATTTAAATATTAAATTATAGAATGGTTTATTTGGTAAAAAATTATAATTAAAACTAAATATTTGTTGAAATTTCTGCATTATAAATATGGTTATGGTGTTTTTTTCAAATGAATAGTACTCCATACCAATTTTTTACCTCTTTGGAATTATTTAATATTGACTGTCACAAAAACAACAGTTTATTTTAACTAAACTAATCGAATATCGAATGGATAAACAGCAAATAACTGCATTTTATGTTATTTATTACATTTATCAAATTTTTAAATAATAAATCAACAATAAAAAAAATGAAATTCAAATAAAATAATTCTTTTTAGATTTATTCTCATTATTTTTGCCAGATGTTAGCAGCTCACAAGTATTCTGTAAAAGTATTATTGAATACAGTATTATTTCTGTTACAGGTGACTTATTGATTTTCTAGATAACAAATGCGTTATTTCTAACTGATCAGCAGTATGCGAACAAAATTAGTTTGCATTGTATATAACGAATGCGTTTAGGTGAGCACGTATTTTTTGTCATTAGACCTGGAAATTGAAAGTCCGGTTGAATAAAGTACAAATTAAATTTCGAGACTTTGTTTGCTCAACGCTGGGAAATGGCCACCAACTCTCTAAAAAGTTTATAGGGGCCAATTTGTTGACTGGCGAAATACAAATGCAACCCTCTCTTTTAACCGAATGCCTAATGAATGGGTACTATTGTTTTACTGGGGTTATAATTAGATTGCAGCTTTGATAGAATTTTAGATTCTGATCTATACATCATACGTATACCTAAATATAGTCATGGCCAAAATATCCTCTCTTATTTGTTTGAGTATGTATTAATTTTCTATCGATTGTCTTATAAAATAAACATATACACAATTAGTATTAGGTACTAATCAGTTTTTTATTTTTTACTGTCGCGTACCTACAGGATATTTTTTCCTGCTCTATTGATTGCACTGCTCTCTAACTATACCGGTATTCGTGTACGAAATAAATTATCAACATACCTCGCTATCGAGTGGAAGTAATGTGTGTAAAATCGAGAAAATCAATGGACAGATTTAACTAAACCGTTACGGTAGTTTATTAGCAATTAGTTAGTAACAGGATACCTATTTTCTGTGATTTACAAAATATTAATGAGTGTTCAGTGAATGTATTGAACGAATTCGTAAATGGTTTAACGTTCGATTTCTCTTCTCTATAGCTCTATAAAGCGTGAGTCTGGATAACGCGGAGAGAATAAATGTGCTCGAATTCAATGTACAAAGGTTTCTTTAAAACTAATGAGGTTCTAATTAGCTTATTATTGGAAATATATTTTTTATTTCATTATAACATCATCCTGCTATAAATTTTCTCTAATTAATCTATTTTTGAGCAGTATTTATAAGGTTTGACAATTTGTATAAAGACATCACACACAACTTCAATAAAATTCAAGTGACATCATAAACTTGACATGTAATTTCAATGCTCGTTTATTTATTTCATTTAGCTGTAACACTTCGATCAAAATAAACGATTCCCATGATTTTTACACGTTTTACAACCACTCACCCTAGCGAAAATAATAAGGTTATACTTATTTATTCATGAGTAATACAAAAGAACCCGTAAATAAAAACATAAAATTTTTCAAGTGAATGTTACGGCTGTTTTCTGTATTGGATACAAACCAAATATCTCAACTAAAACGATTAAGATTGTTTTTACCATTACTTATTTATATACTAGGAACAAATGAGTAATTTTTTAGCGATAAAAGAGCGTTATGGAATAAAAATCAAAACGACCAAACAATAGAGCTTGCTATTCAACAATCCATAATAATATATGTATATTCCCTCTATCCCTTTTCAATTTCGGGTTACATCAATATACCTGCACATCCAATATTTGTGAATGTGTTTAAAGCGATAAATTTTTAATTTGAATTCGCGGGCAAACAAGTTGCACCAACATTTTAAAATGATTAGCTCGCTTTGTTACCATGCAAGATGAATGTATGTTCGATAAATACACATTACTTACTATATAATCCCTAGATTCCGTTTTATGTTTGAACACGTAAAAGTACGACTGCATGTTAACAGCGGCGTGATACTTCGCCATTTGGACCATCGGTGCCACGGACCGGGCGTCAGATAAGATATCCAGCAACGTATCTCTAGCCAAAGAGGCCTGATCAGGCTCGTAACCGCTGTAATCATAAACACCGTCTTTCTTCTGGACGTTGTTCTGTAAAATATCGCCATGACTGTACTCGTCAAGGGTGCGCTGCAAGCACAGTTCCGGCTTCATCTCGCATCGCGTCCGGAAATACGTGCGCAACTCTTTATCACGCTCTTTTAACAGCATCCCTTGGCTGAAAGTCAGAGGGTCCAATAGGTTGATGCTCTCCATTTCGGTGACTCCGTACATTAGTTCGAATCTGCAATTGAAATAAGAGACATTTTTATCTCAGCACGAACGGCATGATGAATGAATCGGAACGTAAATCATTTGAGGATGGTATCTGGTCTAATCGAATAAAACGATGATAGATGGAATTAATTACGATCCCGAATATAACTGGAGTAAATTTATCTTTGAAAGACTTTTAAAAATGTTGCAGTATAGTAAAAATCTAGTGTAAGGGTTAGGAAGGGAGTTGATCTATATTTTGTGAAAACCATACCTTCGAAATATATCATTATATTGTGTCATAGATTTCTTCGGGTCATTAGGCACGACTAGAGAATCCACTACGGGGCCAAAGCGGGTCTTGTAGTCGGGCGTGATTGCACCTGCAGCCATGATTTCGTCGAGCCTCTTCCTTCTCAAGCATTCTGCGAAATCGTCGTGTATTTGACAGTTGAGCGCTTTTGCAACTTGATATGTTACTTCGCCTGGATTGCCGGCTAATGCCCAATCAGCCAGCGCTGTCCCGCCCATCAGGATCGCTCGATGAAATAACCCTGGAAATTAATGCGATTAATGGGAAGACATGTTAATTAACACTTAAAGGAGTTATGATATTGCCTTTAGTTATTGTGTATTGATTCATTGCAAGCGCTGTAATTTAATTATTCGAACTGGCGCGCGGATCGGAAAATTAAAACAAAAATATTTTACCATAATAAATATAATCATACGGTAAACGAAATTATCTACCTCTTGTTCTCTTGAGTCTTTTGCTCCGAGAGGTAAATGAAAAGCAGCTAAAATTTTTCTTTTTCCCCGTTAGGTTTTAAAAGAATTGTTTAAATAGATTAGGCGCAAAACAATTTATTTGTATTCGTAAATCTTTTAATTACATTTGAAAATCACACAAAGGAAACCGAAAAGTTGCGAAAGTTGGGAAAATAAGTTAAACAGACTGAAACATTCTTCAGCTCTTTTTATAGGTCTCTGTTTTGTTATTCCAGTTGGGAATTTTCAATTATCCAAGTTTTAAACTTGCTTATTTTAGTTATTCCTGATTAACACCGCTTGATTTTAATCAAAATGTAATTTGTAAATTTGTTAAAACGAGTTGTACGTATGCCTTAATTTCAAATAAGTCGGTAACATTTCAGAAATGGAAAATCTCCGAAAATGTTCGTCTCAGACGGTCCCAATATTACATTCTATTTACTTTTCTCGCTTTCTCAAAGTTACAAAATTTAGTATTTACACGTGCATTTAAATTATTTGGAAAAGAGTACAAACAGTTCCTTTACAACGAATTTCAATTGTCAAAGCGAGTGAAAACCTTTTTAATTTAATTACTCTTATTCGCGGATGAGAGATACACAAGCAAAGGAATTAATTAATCCTGTATTCGGAGACTAATCAAAACGGGCGTTTAAAATTATCGAACGAGTAGAATTTCCACCATTATCGCTAATGATAGGTTATTTATATAGGTAGTTAATTGGTCACTGGAAATGATTGAGTCTCTTCAAGAGGAAATATGAGCGATAATTTATTGTATATGATTGAGAAATGTATCGAAATGAAAATACTCTGTAAGAGTAATCATTTTCGATTTAGCTAGAAAAAGGTTAGGAGAAAACTGCTATAACAAGAAAAACTAGAAACTTTATATTTTCATTCCCTGTCTAGGCGAGAAATAAAAACTTTTTACGATTATTACTTTCTTGAACATGAACAATATTTTTATATTTACCAACACGTTGGGTTTGTGTAATTGGAAGATTGGTTTGCAATAAAGGGTAAGTATAGATAAATGTATTTTTTCGCATCATATCGCGCGGATACCGGCCGCTTATATTCAAATAAATTAAACTCATATTTTATTTTATTCCTGCCTTTCATGTAAAATGCAGATCTTCAGAAAAGCATTGGTAAAATCTCCCTGGAATAACCGCATACTTCTTATTTTACACGTTTAGCTATGAATGAAAAATGGAGCGTATCCAGCAAGTTATTCACTCAAACATCGTTCTTTTACAAGCGGTTACACAAGGAAACTTCCTATATTTTATTTTTCAAGCTTTTCATTTTTTTGAAAGGTAAAGGAGTTTTAGCATATAGAGGTTGTTTCAAAATTCGACCGACGTGAATTTTCAAATTTATATCTACATCTTTTGCCACATCGACAATATTAATAAAATATTTTAGAGAATTTAAAAAAGAAATAATCACTTAGAATTATATAAAATTACCTAATTACCTAATTCTTGAAATTTAATAGTTGAATGTCTTACTAAATGTATTCAAGGTGCCTATACTAAATTTTAAATATAACAGCTTTTAATATAATACTAAGTGAAAGAGGCTGTTATTCATCAGGAAGGATTAAATTGGAGCACCGGGAATATCGTAAGAAAAATAATGTGATCTTATTATTTCGAACTTTTAGCGTTATAATAAAATAATAAGTCTCCCGTTATTTATATCCATTACATTTTTTCATTAAGACAGAATATAAAGTCTGAATTTTCGGGGTGAAAATAAAACGAAGAATTAAAGCCCCTGAAAAATGTAAGCTCATTATGATACTTTTTTACCGACAACTTACTACGCCTAATTTCCACGCAGTACCAAGGGTAATTGCCCTCGTATTTATAAGGAAAGCGGAGTATCTGTCTCATTTTTTGTCATTACTACAGCGTTATATGCCAGAAATAAAAATTCGTTCGTCTCTGGAGAATCTACAGGTGTTTTATAAAAAATAAGTAGCCGTATTAAAGCCGAAAACAGAACATAAATGATGGAATTTTTTTCAACTAGCGAACTACAACAATTGAATTTTCCGTTAAATTAATTTTTTCTCATGCGTTCTTTTATTATTCAAACCAATTTGATTGATTGAATGGTTTTGACGTAAAGAAAATTAATCTTATCGCCTGAGAATATTGAATAATATGAAATACTTTTCAATCCGTCAAATTAAAGTTTTCTTGTGGAAAATAAAATTATAGTTCATCTGGAATAAAAGAATAATTTATAAATAAAAAATGCAAATGCCTACGAAATAACCGTTTTGTTGGGGTTCAAGAGGGAACCAAAGTGCCATAAAATAACTGACAGTGTTTCAAGTAATGGTTATTTGGATAGAGCTTAGGGCTCATTGTATATTTCACAAACAATTAAACAAGCATCATTAAATTTTAATTGGATAACTCCAGAAACAATTCAGAGGTCAATTAAAAATTTAAGGAATACCTCTGAAACTGGCAAAAATTTACGTCTGGAGAATTCTAAGCTCTACTCCTTTTGAGCGTTATAGAAGATTCTCATTTATAGAGAGTGGAAAACATTCAGGATTTTATGTTAATACAAAAAATGGAATGCTGGGAAAGTGAATGATTGCTGGGAGTGGGTCATTCATTTGAGCTTATTTTAGCGAGCTATGAACTCCGAGCGGGAAAAGTGTAGAAAGCATAATGGGGTAAAAATAAGATAGGGTGTAGTCCTCAAAGGACTCAAATTCAGTTAGTGGGTAAGGATATTTCATGAATTTTTTTATGATTAAATATTTTATTGCCTAAATAGCTTACACACTCGTGTAATAAATTATTTCTGATTCTTATTTGTGCAGTTATCAATATTTTGAAATTATTTCCTAGATCTAGATAAAGTTTTCAATACCATATGGGAATATGTCGTACTATTCCTGTCAAAAGTTTTGATCGAAACGTTACATGTTGTCAGTTACTAAAAGCATTTTATTTAATATCAAAAATAGTTTTTCTTTGATGCGCGAAACACAGGACATTCGTAAGTTATACTGAGAACAGTGCCGTAGTTCAGTCATTACATATTGATGAGAACTTGTCTTGAAAATCCATTGAGATTTGTTATGGTTTACTAGATGCAGAAAGGCCCACAGTTATCCTTATTACTTAATAATTACTATGTACTATTATTTAGTAGGTAACTAAAGACCCCTGTTTTGGAATTCGTCTTACTTAATATAAAATAATCATGAATGTTGCTATGCAGATATTTACTGTATTAAGTGTCAATATTAAGTGTAAAAATAAAAATAAAATATTCTTACTGTCATTCCCTTTTAGAACCATAGGACTGATCATTAAAAGACTGGCACAAACTGCACCAGTACCATGACCAAACAGAGTCACTGAATTACTGTCTCCTCCAAAGGCGGCTATGTTATCTTTTATCCATACTAGAGAAGCAATTTGATCCACTAATCCAAAATTACTTTTCGACATTTCTTCAGTTCCAGCTTTCAAAAAACCTAAAAGAAAGTAGTTTGTATTAATCGACTCTACATATTTAATAATATGGAGAATATACTCAGAGGAGTGCACAATAAATCGCATACTGTGCGGAATACGAAAAGGAATAAAATAGTTTTCAATATTTCAATTCCAACTTGTATACAAAAATGGACGACACATGAAACGAACGATTGTTCAGGGATCACAACAAGGTATGAAAGAATCAAAAATGAATGCGAAAATATTTCAAGATGAGTGGCCTCTATCCTCCTGGGTTTGATATAGTGTAATAAAAATTTCCAATGTTTTCTGGAAAAATTCTCTTGAAACCACCTATCCATACATAAGTCGCGTCTAAGCTGCTAGATTTTATCTTTTGACTACCTTGAAAAATTTTTGTTGTAGATGTTTTTCCCCCAGCGACCGCGGTCTGATTTCCGCCGAGGCAAATTTATTTTCGCAAGTAAAAGCTCAACTTCTAAACATTTTATTTGAGGTTAGCAATCTCTAGGTACCGTTATGACGTCGTTGTGTAATAACGACACCAGGGAAGGTAATAATAATATATTCAAATGTCTGGAACTGTTGGAAACGTTTGCTGTACAGTTAAGCTAAACCGACGAACAAACGCTTGCAAACGCTTGCGACCTATTCTTTTATTTTGCTTGGGAAAACGCTGCCGAACATTTTCCTGCAATTCCACATTCTTAGTGAACGCGAAAATAATGAATAATACTTTTTAATAGACAAAAAAATAATCGTAGATCGTTTTTTATGCAAATGACGAATATCGTATTTTTCTTGTGGTTTCGTACATTAGGAAATTAAAAATTATTTAAGAAATTTGATCAAACAATACTCGAATCGCTGAGTATCATCCACAACTCCCTAGAGATGCTAAAATCAACGCTTTAGGGATAATCTAATTAAAATTACTTAACGTTAGAACGATATTTCAAAATTTCTCATAAATTAATCAAATAGCAAAAATGTTTAATAATTATTGATAGTTTCACAGAAAATTCAAGATAGGCAAATTCATTCATATTTCATAATTCCAAATCAATTCATATGTAGGTAGGTATGTATACGAATGCAGTGAGAAAAGAAAACTGCAGTTTACGTTAATTTTTGTTGTTTACTAATCGGCAATTCATATTAATTTAGTTTGCTGAACGAATTAATCGTGCTATTGTGCTGTACAATATAATAGAAAAATTACCTAAATGTAACTAATATATCTTAGGTAAATTTTCGTATTCATTCGTATAAAAACAATTGCATTCCGGTTCTTTCAAACCGTAATAGTCCGTTCTTTTGTGAACCAACTTGGAAATCATGTTCCGTATTACAATTGCTACATAATTCATTTAGGAAAAATACAGAGGAAAGCTAGGGACTTCGCTCACAAAAGCTTATATATAGATATATCAGCTCGGTGCGCTGCTCCAGACAATCGCGATTCCGTTTTAGTAATATTCTTTCCTTTTAATTCTTGCTTCACATGCGATTAATAAAAATTTAAAATGCTGATAATTAAACTGAACTTGAAGCTCGTCTTATAACATGTTTCATGTTTTTCCTATGGCCAGTATCGGAAGGTTATTAAATTTTTAATTAAACTTTAATACTTTGACTGACAGTAGTTTAATATAATTCCATGTATACAGTAGACGAGCAGAATTTGGATTAGCTTTTCATTAAAACAACAGACTAGAAGAGTTTTGATTTTTCTTTTTAATTAAAATCTATTAAATTTCATGAAATTGCAGCAATAATGCCCGTCGTGAGACCTTTTGTATAATTATTATTTGCCTTAATTTGTTTTAGAATCCAATATCATAAATTCTATTTACTTAGGTACCTAATTGGTTTAAAACTCGTTCAATTTAATTGGCCTGATAAATACAGCGGAAAATAGAACTAAATACTTAACACGTTGTAACTGTAAATTTGCAAATATATTAGGAGATTAGTTACCTAAGATTCCTAGCCGGAAATTTATTGTTACCACTATCACGTTTCCATAAGCCGCGAGAACGCTGCCATCATAAGGATTGCCCGAGTTCCATTCGAAGGATTCGCCGCTTATGAAGACCATCACTGGATACTTTCTAGTGTTAAATACATCGTCTGAAAAGAAAATAAAATTTATTGAACATAATTTCAGACCCTTATGTTGGCGGTTTCCACTTCATCGTATCTTAAAGCTCTAATAAAACTTGAAGAAAATGGCTTCAAACGTAATTATTGCTCAATAAATTACACTTTAAAAAAAGTTATTTGAAAGCTTTATAACAAAATTTTCTAATTAATAATTGTTATTTTGCCTTAAATTCTTTTACTAGGTACTCATTTCACTTAAATAACGGCTTTGGAATGATTATTTTCTGCATGTTTCCTTAGTAACAAGAAAATTACGAAACGTCGCGCTTAGAAATGTAACTCGTTCATGCCGGAAAATTACATAATACCATTTTCAAATAAATGACCCCGAGACTTCCCCTGAACTAGTTATTTTTGCTTAGTTTTAATCTCATCCGGAGTTTGCTAAAGTGTTTCGGTAACTTGATACCCTAACTCCATAGGAAGCTGAAATAAAAGTTACAAAGTATGTTAGCAATTAGAGCAGCAGCGTTAACTTTTTAAAATCGCAAACTGATAAATTTGCTGAGCTTTTATTTAATGTCCCCACAAAAGTTGTTATATACTTTCTTAAGTATGCGTGTAATTAGAATAATTCACTGCTTGGTAATACTCTTTAGAGGTGTACTGAATTTAATTATCGGATACGAGGTACGATTTTATTTTGATAGAAAATCTACAAATATATCAAAAAAAAACGGTTGTTGTAATTGTAAATATATTTGTAAATTAATTTGTCTGAATAGTAGGTATAAATAAAAATATATTTAGATTAGCACGTGTGCAGGATAAACCTATATTTGTCTAGTTGTATCATGTTAATTAGAAACTGGTGTTTTTGGTTAAGCTTCTTCCGGTTTAAACCGCACGTTGATTAATTTTACCTCTCTCTTTATCCGACTCATTTGTCGACGATATTTTACGTGAATTTGTTAATATTGTACCTTTTTTCTTTTTATTGGGTATTCAAATTACGTAATGAGTTTTCTGCTGGTGGTGTAAATTTTATTATCTTGTCCCATAACGTCATTTTTTATGCAACTCAGAATCACATTTGTGACTCCGTCGGCTAAACAATAAAACTGGATGGTTTTCAACGTATCTGATTCTCCACATTAGTCGCATTCATCATTCTCGTTTCTACCTATTCTGCATGTGTAATTCCCTAAGAGCAGGAAAATATTTTATGTTACCTTTTAGTTCGTGATATTGCTTTTATAACGGCTTTAAATTTTTTCCAACCGCTAATTACCGGCGCTCTAATTGTTTTTACAATGTTTTTTTAATATTTATATATTTACCTACTCAATTGATAATAATTTACTCAATTGATTTTTTTCTAGTTTTTTTTTTAACTAACGTTAAGTGCATTGAGCAAGAAAAACAAAGAGTGGTATGCACACATTATTACTTTAATTCCTGCTTCATGGAACAGAAAATATCAAATACTCAATTCGCAAATGTTTATTTTTTCGGAATGCCCGTTCTTGCAAAATATAGTTTCGCAGCATCACACATTTTCGGCTAACGGTTAAAATTACATTTCGGTTATATGCGTCCGAATAAAAAACAGACAAATTTTCAGTGAAAAATAAATGACAATTACGTCTATACCTCATCACTAAAAACTGTTAATTTTGCGAGAAATTCATTTTTGATTACTATTTTTAATTACAAAGAAACTTTTAATTCTAAAAATAAATAATAGATATGTTACATAGTCAATTTGGTGCAAGCACCTGTATTGATATAAATTTATTTTATTACTATCTAAATTGTAAATATTCCTATTTATACAAGTTTAAATTGATTTAAGTTTCGTGTAAAATTAGCTTTCCATGTTCTCGAACGAAAGGTACTAATTTGTGGTAAGTGATGTGGAACGTTACTCCTGCCAGTTTCACAATTTTTTTGATCGAACTTTCCAGAACAAATCACGATTCGAGAGTCGCGAAAGAGTAAAAGAGAATAAGTAGCGGCAATCGTAAAATAAACGTGAGAAGTTTTCAAGTTTCGCTAGTTATATTTGAGTTATCATTTAAGTTATATTTTTCCGAGGAACAAAGTTGTTTCAAACATATTCAAGAATATAGCCAATAGAATAAACAGTTATTGGTAAATAACGATTCTCGGAAAATGAACTGTTTCGTTTTCTAAACAAAGCCAAGAAATCTAGAAAAAAAGTAGTTTAATACATATACTTCAGTAGTTCATGAGGTTTTCATCCCATCACCCATGAACTCGGACATAAATTGTAAATGAGGGTTCAGGTAGAAGAAATAAATCTCAACCTCGGAGATCTTGTTAAGCCAAGTTTAATCCAAATAAAAAATGCCTTTTTCCTTCTCTCCTAAATTTTCTGTTGTATCTAAAATAATATTTCCTTTCTCCCACAATACTGATGAATATTTTTGATCACTCTCCTTTCCATTTTCTTTCTGTTGAAACAGGCCGCTTATTGCTTTATTTAAAAGTAATTGCTTTGTTCGAGTATAACGAGCTAGTTATTTTAATCATAATTAACTGTAATAGGCAAATAAAAATGAAACGGTAGATTCATTTTAATTCTAAATTAATTGATGGAATTCACAAATTTTTTTCTCTTTTGAAATCTTATTTCTATTCAATAGTTTTCCGATTTAATTATTATACAATTAAGTATTTGATTTTTTAATAAATTATCACAATAATTGTAGGTCAATTTGTTATTCAACAAAGAGTTATATCTGAGTTTCCTAAACGGATATATGGATATATGGATAATGGTTTAGTTTTCACAAGGCAAAATAAGGGTACATTAAAGGGCAAGGGTAATACAATTAAAAAGGAACATTAAAGGAATATATTATGTAACATCCTACAATACATCGTACAATAAATAGTGGATATAGACTTTATGTTCCTTTAGTGATAAAAATTTAATGACACAGTAAAATGTATAGTTTCAGCAGTGGTACCTAATTAACAATGGATTTATCGCGTTAACAGATTTTAAAGATTGGAGGAAAGAGAAATTTTCTACTATTTAAATATCTGTAATACTCTTTTTGTTTAGTAAACTATTGGGGATTTTATATGTATTTGAAAACACTATTTATTGAGAATTTTATTTTCTGTATTCTAGTCCAGTCCAATAAATAATTCTTTGTAAATATTAATTAACTCTTGTTTAATTTTAAAACAATTTGTCTTGTAGATAGAGAACTTGTAAATAGTTTTTCGAATTAAAATTGAATCGATGGAACTGAGAATGGAGTTTTTTTTTGTTTTCTCGAAACATATCCACAACGCGATAACATTTCCTAAGTAATTCGATATTACATTTACAAAGAAAATAGGAAATTAATCAAATTTAAAATTGAGGTCGCTATATTACACATGTGCGCATTGTAGTCGTTTCATGAAACATCACCCAATTGCAAGATGAACCAGTTTAAAACAACGATAAATCTAAAGTTACAGGATGTTCGAAATACATTAGGTAGCAAATATTTGTACGGAAAATCTATTAGGATAAAATTTATCGCTTTATTTCTATCTACCTTTTACGCATTTTCATCGAGCGTTTTGTGAGTGTTCGCCAGTTTGCATATGAAAAGATTCGTGCGTCTTTTTGTTTCTACAATTGCCCCGTCACAATCACAATTTTTCACAGCGACGAAATAAAAGGCGCGGCTTTTTATCCTACTTTAAAAATGACTCAATTTCATTGAACATAAATCCCCTTCTAAACTCGTGATCTACAAACAAATAAAAAGGAAATTCTATTATGTTATAAGCCTTGTAATAAAAAGGTAGAGCAATAAATATGGGAATTAATCAACCATGCTGTACGCTCTCGGGGCAATCTGACGGGACGAGGATAACCGAACCGCCTCTATCATATTACTTTTTATATTGGTTTTGATAAAGGAAAATATAAAAAAGATGGAAGATATTTGTCAAGGTACGTATGATGTAATCTAGGTGTCGCATTAGACACTCTGGGTTGTTAGAAATAGCTACTTAAAGGACAATTTGTGTCATTTTAGTCGTTACTGATATGACTTGATATTCCTGCGTGTTACTTTTTAAAATATACTCCCACACAATACTAAATGTGTTAACTGAAATTATAATTTCTAAATGAATTTAAAAATAGGTCTCAACGTTTTGAAAAACAATGAATTACTCAATTTGAAAAAATTTTGGCTAATGTCGCTTTATAAATTCTATACATATGCGTCACAATTACTTTGAACTTAAACACTGCATAACAATAATATGTAGATTCCACGTAGCATATTTTATTCCCGCATAATTTTCCACCCAATACCGTCAATGTGGCCGCAGTGCACCATCTTCAGGCGCTTACCGCTTGCTAGATTTTTCTCTAGATAAAATAAAATATCAAACTGAGTCTCGGTGAGGTAATTACCGGCCTACTTCGAACAGTAACTCCTCAGACGTATTAAATTTTCCCAATAAATCTTGACGATATCTTCTGGAAGGTAATAATCTTAAAAAAAATAAATAAAAATATACGCAACCATAATTAGATCGTTAGCGCCAATAACTTCTCTACCAATTCGAAGGGCTACGATAAATAATGTATACGTTGGCAATCACAATTTCCCGCAGATCTTTTATTTCGCAGGATATTGGAATTTCTCTCCGAGGACCAATTCTTGTAGCTCATTTTTAAGTCGTTGTAATTAATTAGAACAATGTAGTCGTACAGAAGATATAGGGATTTTTAGATACCTATTATTTTAGTTTACCTACATAAAATATACCTACATTACATTTTAATTATCAATTAATTAATTTTAAACGGTTGTATATGGTATGTATGTACGTATGTAATTAATTGTGTAGGAGTACGTATTAGTGATTACTCTAGATTGTTCTAGATATTGATTTCTTACAGGGTGATGTTTTACCACATACAACATACAAATCAAGGTGTTATTGAATTATTACTAACTTGAAGAATAATTTATTATGTTTATCGCATGATAATTTATTATATTCATTTCTTATATTCAAATTTATCAAAGTTTCTTCAACTAATATTACTCTAAATCACAAAAACGATTAAATTTGTCTACTGTTTCAAACTTCGACAATAACTTTAAGCACAAAATAGTTTTGGCTTTAAGATACAAACTGCAAAGGCAATCGACTCGGCTTGCAGTGAAACCCATTATGAAAATGAACGTCCGTTAAAAGGAATGCGAAAATAGGTCAAGATAAGATCATTATCCCTATGCTTCCAACCAGAATAATAAACAATCCCACAATAAAACACCACTTAGATTCTTGATAAATTCTAGAGAATAGATTTGCCAGAAATGAACTCAAAGTTGACAGCAAAGAAGCAGAAAGTTGACTAGAATTATAAAGTTTTTGCTGCAATAATTTGGTGCATTCTCCAAGGAATTTATTATTGGAAATTATATTAACTTTAATGACAGTTTAAAAGTACAATTTTAATGGTTTAACTTTATCGCAATTTTAGTAATTATCTTGTTAAAAAGTTTTAACTATGAACTGTATTTTAAAAATTGAATTATCCCATATTCTGACTCAATTGTTCATAATATTTTAAATTTCTATTTTGGAAAAAGTTTTCCTCGTCATGCCAATGAATATTTACAATGCATTTATTTTCATATACATAATTAATCGATAAAATTTCTCAAAGGTGGTAACTGCACCATCTAGAATTCGTGTGGCAAACCGCTTTTAAAAATCAATAGGGGTTTCATCAACTCGAAGGGATGTTTCAGCCATTTTCTCATAGATAGCGCGAGAATTTTCCTTTCGTTGTGGAAAATCGTTACAGGGTTAGATTTAAATGGTTTAGAGGTGTGGATAGATCCCGCAGGATCCAGATACCTATCGCATGATATTTTAAATAATACGAGAAGGTGAGGTAAGGTAATTAATTTCCTGATCAAATTTATCTGTTATTTAACAATAATAACAACTTGTACGATATTCCTTAAATTTTAAAACAATATTTGAATGTGAACGGGGACTGATAAGTGATTAATTAATCATTAATTGTTGAGGAAGTTACCACCCTATTCATTAAACGGATTTCAGCCACTAAGCTATTTTCCATGTACCTAATACCATCATTCTCCTAATTATTTTAACAACCTTAACATAGTTGGTTTCAAAATTATCGTCTGTGTCACAAGAGAGAAATTCTTTTTCGCATGTAGAAATGGAATTATTTTGAACAATATATCAATTGGCTCGCATTCGATATTGATTTTAGTAAAGTTATTTTAGACTCTAACATTTTTATGTGTACCCATCAACTAAGCGGAAATAATAAATGGATTTAAACATTATCGCATGTTTAAAGCAAAATTTATCCTGTACCTATATTTGAAAATTGTAAATAACAGAAAGCTGATTGGCCTATAAATTAAAGGAAAATTTTGCTCCAAAATTACCCTGATATAGACATATTCAATATTCCTATGAGTAATGAGCCATTCAAAGTTGGATAAATTTTCTAATTGGATTACCAAACACTGTCATAAATTCCAACGGATATCGGAAAGGGCGTAAGGTCAAAATTACAAATGTGGAGTGTCCGTTAAACTTTCCAGATTTAATGCTATTCAGAAACCACTCAAAATATATTAATTATAATTCAACAACTTTCGAATATTGTTTAGAAAAAATATGGAGTGCCCTCAAAGTATTTTTAAACAAAAATCTGATAAACAGTATTTTTATTTTATATTTAACGTGAATCTCCTCTTTATGTATAGTAAAGTGTATACGGATGGCCGAATATGAAAGCAATTCTTAAAATATTATTAATTAAAATACAATTAAATGTTAAAGCAAACTTTATTTTTGTAGCAAAGCTTACTTTTGTAGCATAGTAGGATACTCTTAAATAACTCTTAAATATTCAATCATTAATATTACAATAAAATATTTAGATAAACACGGTTAAGTTTCGGAGTAAATAAAAAATATTCTGAAGAGACCCACGTAGGTAAATTCCGGACACTGACGCGAAGCAAGTCAGCGAATCTAAATCTACGGGTGTTTCTTCAGTACTCTGCATTTTATTCTCTGCTCTAAATGCTCTCTTGCCTAGTTTTCCGAATTTTACGACTGCCACCGCAAACAAATATTCCGTTTTTATTACGCATGTGAAACAAAACCATATTTCATTTTTGTTCCAATGGAATAGCTGGTAAAATTTTCTTATTATTTGTCTATTCGAGACAGGAAGCCTCATGAATCAGCATAATTGTTATTACCGATGCTTTCCAATAGCATATTTTGTATAATTTATCACTCCACGTGAAACTTAGCTAAACCTCTTGCAAATGATCTCGTTTCGTTCCATAAAGGAGCTTCACTGCAATCTGTGCTCTATTTCATCAACAATATTCAAAACCATTCATCAATCCTGACGCAGCATGACCTACACAGAAAACTTTCGGTTTATTAGAAGATAATAATTTATTTCCTGTCAATAGATCCGATTATTATTAATAGAAAATTCGAATGATATGGGTTTTTCGAATCTTGTCCTTCTACTAAAGTACCATCAGTAAATATTTTCTCAATAAAGTCTTTTCTATCCAAATTTTTGTTAAAAAATATAATTATTCAACATTGAACAAGGGCATGGAGTTAATTAAATGTATAATGTAACCAAATTCGATGTTTAATTCGATTAAATAAACATTTTCATCGAATCCCTCAATAAATAGCTAGTTAGTTCGGTAATTGTTATTCTAGTTGAGAACTAGGTAATTCATTTAAATTATGTAAATGTTCCTGAATTGAACTATAACTGTTACTGGTACCTAGATGAATAGATATTGCAGCAATAATGCCAGTGGATTTAGAGACTAATTTGGCCACGTTAAACTATACTTTAAGGAGATACATTGTTAAAAAGGTAGTAATAGACATTGTATGTATGTACCTATACAGAAGAAATACCTATAATTAAGGTAAAATTTTGAAATAAACTAAATATTTTGTTGCATTAACATTTATCTCTAACAATATTTTATTGGACCGATGTCGTTTTGTCCGGAACACCTACTTCCCGACTACAATAGTAAGTCTCTGAATTTTTTATACTCGGTAAACCCTGTTTGAATTCGGGATGACAAAAGAGTGAAATTAGAGCGACTGGCCAGCCAGCCTGCAGAAGCGTTATAAAATATGAAATGAGTTGTCCAGTTCAAAGATGAAGCACCGTAAGTTAACGCGTCCCCATGGGGTACGATTCGAGCGGCCGTTATCTCGACAAGTTGGTTGTTACTGGGCTAGTCACGAACTCGAGCCTGCCAGAACGATACCGCTTTGGAATATTGGTGTTGCGTTCGGGAAAAAATGAGGGAAATTATATTTTAATAACAAACATTTTAGTTATTTGGTCTAATAAATCCTAAACGGACTGACGTTTAAAATAGCGTTTTTACTGGAGAATACCTATATTCAAACCTTTTTATCAGGAATTTATTCTTTATTTAATTTATAAAATTACTTACCTGATAATGGAGTATATATGTTCAAATACAAGCAGTCCTCGCTTTGGTTGACCAAATATTCTTTTAATCTTAAAAATTGCTCTCTTTTGTAAGGAGGCATCTTCTTTTCATCAGGGAACTTTTGCGGGCAAACCGGAGCGAACTTATCGGCATATTTGACACCGAACCATGAGGGAGCTCCCACTGTTGGCATGAACCGTAGTCCACCAACAGGCGGGGCAGCATAGGGAATACCTCTAAACACGCCAACCCTATACCGCTGGTCTCTTCCAATTTGTGGCTCAACGACAAATCCTTGCAGAACACCTTGCTTGAGAGAAATGTTTCTCGTGTATTCCGTGATAAATGGATTGTAACTGTAGTCGTAACCATTTGGTATGGTTTGCTTCGCACAAAACACTAACGTTATTATTATTGTTAACGTGTTTGTTATATAGGCCATTTTTGAATTAAAAGTTTATAAAATTTGTATTGTCACATCTTTTAAGATCTATATTTGAAGGCAAGAAAATAGTGCAACATTTCAAGCAAGTAATAATATCCATATTTAGGTGGATGAAATTTAAACGCAAAAGTTCTAATTCTAATCAAATTTATTCACCAAAAATAACTCTTATTAACTCGTATTAAAAAAAGGAATGACTTATGGCTCGCTTTATAATTATTCGTACAAAAAGCGTTGAAATTGAATTTGAGTTAAATAGCAATGAGGCTGTATAAACGGCAATGTACAGGTTAGTTAAAACGATAGCGGAAATCCAGCGCAACCAAAACCGACTAACATCTAAAAATAGAGCCTGAATACGACAAGATCGAGCATTTACAAATTTAAACTCGAAAGGGGCTATCGACCACATTCTTGGTCACATTAATTATTTAAAATCATCAGCTGTTCCAAAATGTTTTTGCTATGTTAATGGAAGTATATAGTGCATTTCAATTTGCAATATGGTCATTTCTATGAGTTAAATAAAGAATGTTTGTTGTTAAAGTAAAAAAATTGCAAAGACACAATCTCATTCTTTCTTTTTTCTTTATAAGTGTCTAATGGAAGTTGTCTTTATCGCACCCATAGCCTCTAATACATATAACCTATATTGCGAACCAAAATTAATCAATATGTACACATTAATGAATGTATCAACGCTGCGATTCTGAAAGCTTTTTAGTTTTTACTAAAATCCATTTTTGCGTAATCTACGAAATTTATATTATTTCAAACATTTTCCCTGTACATGTCAGATATGTATGAAAAAACGACGTTATAATCCGATATCCATTATAAATGTATAGATTTTTAAGAGAGATTGTTAAATATATGGTGGATCTACTCTCATACATACTATTAAGCATTAACGCATAAAAAAAAGTTAATAAAAATTGTGATCAATGCATAAAAATTATGTATATTAAAATAAAATATTATTTCAATTTTCTTAAGTGATTAGTTACTTATTTATTAACTTGATTAGAGCTTGTCATTTATTTTTTCAGCATAAGTTTAACGGTCTAAACCAACAAGGAACTTTGTAATATAAATTAACTAATACATTGCTTGAATTTGTTATCACTATTACAATATGTAATAAACACGATTTTAAACATAGTCGAGAAACTCTTTAAAACTCGCACTTCGTTTATTTTATTCGACCGATTTTAACCGCGTAATAAATAAATACGTTAGCACTTTTCTGTCGAATTTAATTCACATTTCACTATAATTTTTATAGCTGTTCACTTTTTAATCGTTAGTCGGTTTTTAAATTGATTTAATGACTAAAAAACTTCCAAATCCGTTGGAACGCGCAGAGTAAACTGGAGCTAAAATTGACAAAGTTTGTGTTCGGCCGATTTCAAAGCACGAAAGACAGAGTCGTCGGAAACGGCACTACTATTTTAGGAATAATTCTACATAATTAAATTATGAATTCTTTATACTCATCTTAATTAAATAATAATGTGCTAATAAGTAAACAGGAAAATTTTGTCTACATAGTTCTATTTTTAAGAAAAATGTGGTAATCGAGAAAAATCTAGATTATTAATCCACATACAGTTGTGGCGTCATTAAATACCGAGTACAGTGAGCAACTATTTGTAAGAGAATTCTATTAATTGTAAGCTATTTTAAAATTTATTGGAACTGGGAATAACTCGATAGAATAACTGAAAATTTGTTTGAACTAAAATTTTATATTATTATTATTATAATTAATATCGTACAATTAAATTATGAATATGTGAAACTGCATTTACTGAACTTTGTGGTATGTATACCTAGTCCAAAAATAATAAACAATCATTTGTAGATCCTCTCATTTTTGATTACCAACACGATTCATACCCTATGTTATATTACCTATATCTATATTAAAAGGCACGTACTTGCTTTTCTACTTTGAATTTACATTAAAAATAAAAAAAAGCCTACTAGAAACCGAAAGTCATGTCACTGATTTCTAAGAGCTCGGAACATGGAGTTATTTTGGGACAATTTCTAAAGCATAAATATGTACGACGTGCGTCTGAGATAGATCGCTTGACGATATAAATAGGTGTTAAACGGTAAGCTCGAAATTCTCCGTCACCTTAAGACCTTTGAGCAGATACTTTTTTGGTGTATATGTAAAACATGCCCCTTTTTAAGCAGATGCAGTGAAAAATCTAAAATTAAAATCTGTATTTACTTTTACCTGATGTTTGTTTTTGAAACGTATCGGTTGCTTTAAGGTTAACACTATGCGTTCAAACCGATTCCTGAAAGCACGACCTATGTAAAATATTGTACAAAACAGTTTTAACACATACATATGTACAGGGCGTCCCAGTGAATAGTAGACCCTTTATAATGAGTTTATAATTTTTAAATGCCTAATCATAAAAATATGCGGTTTTCTCAAATATGTTTTATTTTAGTATAAGTTTTGTTACAGTGATACAGAGACTATGCATGCATTACCAATAGAGTGTTTTTTTCAAAATCTCCTCTTTTAAATTCACAGAAACCATTTTTTTAATGGAACACCCCGTATACACCTCTATATACCCTGAATATAGTTTTTTCAAAAATGTATTATTTGTATGTATACATGTTATTCAACAAAAGAAGATGTCCTATTTTATAAAATTTGGTTAATGTTAATTTAAAAAAGGCGATTTTTATGAAACACTGTACAGGCGATACAAAATTTTTGTGTCACTAGCTGTAACAAAAGCTTATAGCAAAATAAAATATATCTGCGAAAACCGCATGTTTTTATGATTAGGCGTTTAAAAATTATTAGCTGACTAAATGGGCTACTTTTCATTGGGTCACCCTGTATGTGAAATTATCTTTACATTATTTAAAAACAGTAACTGCAATTTCAATTTACTGATAATGAAAATTACAAATATGTCAAATTTTTTTATTAATGCCTTTACGACGTAGGAGAGGACCGAATGTAATTATGCTGTGGTCGAGTCTTGCAAAGTTTTTTTCGTTAATTTAAAATGTAAACTAAGCTATTAAGTTGTAAGCCGTATAAAGTATGAAGTATAAAGTATAATACGGTGTGTGGCCTCAACTTGTAATATTCATGACAAGGGAGACTTTACGTTCTCGTGCTGCAGAGACTTAGCGAGGGAAGGCACCGGTTATTCCTCCCTCTGCTCGCTCTTAAATAAATATGTGTGTTTCTAGATTACACGTCAGTTAACTTCCTGCTTTTTATATGGTTTCTTCCGATGGTGCAATATCATTTTCGGCTAGCTTGCCTATTACATATTTTAATACGCCCCGAAGTGCTGGAAAAATTCCCCAAATTTCACTCAGGATTATAAATACGACATTTCAAGAAGATCTTGTAACTGATGCCATTTTGCAAGTGCAGAAGCGTTCGTAATTTCTCTTTAAAAATGTTTACATATGTTGTACTTTAATTTTGTTAACTGTTTTCTATTAACTGTAAAATATTTACTGTAAAATATCACCATACCTACCACTGAAAGTTCCATTGGAAAAGCCAGCTGCATCTTCAGACGACGCAAAAACCTGTTACAAAGTTAATAAATCCTTTGTCCTTAGTAAATATGTGACCTGCATAAAACCGTATCGAATGAGGTGAATTTAGTAGATCCTCGACTCATGATATTCATAGTTCCAATGTAAGCCACGTAGGGCTGATGTGAGACCGATAGTGTCTCGTACTGCTTTATGAGAGCCAATTCTCAATTTACGGCCTCTTGGATACAGGGAACCCCTCTTGCTACGTGAGGAAACTACCTCACTCTATACCTAGACATTTTATCAATGTCGAGATTTTGGCCGGTCCATCTGCAAGGTATACATAAAATTGATTTTACTACTCTACTAGATAATTAATAAACTATTTCAGTAAAAAATAATACTTGTACTGGAATTAAACTCATTAATACCTACTACTTTATTTCAGTACATAGGTAACCTATATCAATTTATACATACTTCGTATACACACATAAGCGGGTAATATTTCAACATAAATAGTTGAAATTTTGATGTTAAAAGTGTAATAAAACTGATGTAGGTGTAATAAGAGAAAACATAGCAGGCGATGTTTCCATGATTTCAACAACTAGCGTCACAGGCAATTTTGGGTCCGAGAAAGAAACACCTTACGAGGAGGACTGCACGAAAAAGAACAAGATTTTATTATCCTTTATTATCGATTTCGTACGAGGGTAGAAAATAGTGGGTAATAAAAAAAGAGTAAGGTGGCCTCAATTGGTGAACTTTACACGTATATGTGACCTGAGAAATAAACAGAGGTTCGCGTGGTGAAACCCCTACAAAGCACTAATCGGAGTTGATTTGATAGATAAAATATTAAATAAATCTGATAAAGCGCTTATTCTTTCCTAACGGATAATTATATTGTATCTGATAACTTAATTTTATACGAGGTTTGATTTCATAACTAATTATAGTTTTGACATATTTGTAGATAAAAATAGGAGTTTGTGCAGTACCAAACCTGCAACTCTAATCAATTAATTTTTGATTGCCGAACAAATACTGCATAATTGAAAACTTTGCGTTCTCGACTCAAAGTTTAAAATTAATGCATTCGATTGAATTTGGAGTAACAAAGCCACTCTGTGCACTCAATTTTAAGTACCTGAGCCAATAATATTGTACATTATGAAAATTTGTAACCGAGGTATATAAAGTTAAAGATTAAAAATATGGTTCTAGGTACATATGTACATATTAAAATAAGGATAATGACTTTTTGCAAAAGATCGTATCACACGTCGATAGGTATATTTGAATATTTTAAATATTTCATTTTATAATGATAATAGTTTCTCAATTTTGTTAAGTGGTGTGAATTATAAAATTTATTGAAATAAGATGGATAAGGTACTCGGTATTACATAGTTCACTTAATAAAATTCAATTAGTCCAATTAATCCAAATCGGAAAATTGAACTGATATGAAACCAATGGAATCGAGCAGTTCTGCAACATCGTGTTAAACTCGTTACATTTCCCGGTGAAATCCGGTCATAAATGTCAGGAACGAAAGTTGTCGTTCTCGTTGTCGTTCGTAACCCGTAACATTATTTTTCTTTTTTGCACTTTATTTTTCATTTTTGCTTTCCTTTCACTTGACCCGATCCTTGCTAAGAAACAACCCTCAGGAAAAATTAATGAATTTAATCTAGAGCCTCCTAAAGTGGCTTTCGGCGCCTACGCCAAATAATTCATTTTACACGCCTATGCCTGGCTGGGTCCAGGGTGGCCGCCGTTGCTATAATTGCAAGATGATTAAATGGCTTAAGGGGCCAAACGACGGAGTGCTTGCCCTTCTTAGGGGATTTGCAGATACGTATTATGAAATTTACTAGAAAGTTTGATGCGTTTCCATAATTCAAAGCCTCGTTTAATTTACTTGTTTTCTTTGATGCCACTCGTACAACAATTTCGGTATATTTTGATTGAATTGGATTACCGGATTATTACGTTATCGAGTTCGCTTTAACGTTGGGGCTTAAAACGTTTGCGGACAGTTTAACTTTTTGATGGATTTTTGATATTATTAGCAAGCGAATCAAAGTTTTTAGATTGTTTGAACCGCAAGTATTTTATTATAAAATAATTCTTGCAAAATTCACTTTTGGAGATAATTTATTTCTTGGTTCCTGCTTTATTTGTACTAAAAATTTTTCTGAATATTTATATATAAAATAACGAATAGATCGAAATATATAGTAAAACCAATCACTGTTCCGTTTCTTTTACATTTTTCGTCTGCTCTGTATAAAAACATAAACAGTTTGGTAAAATAGCAATCTAAGCCAATATCCTTAAAAAAGGGCGTCTGCGAACGACCCTACCCAAATTCTTCCCCGCATTATTCCAATATATTTCGATTCCAAAATTTATATTACGGGTAGTAACAGTATATCGTCCGGATGTGCGTATCTTTTCAGGACTTTGCGAACATTGTGGAATCTTTATACAAAAGCAAGAAATAACAGTTTAGAAAACTAATGCTCCCTTGCGGAAACAGATGGTGCGGTTAAATGAAAAGTTGGAAATAAAACCGGCCGTAGAATTTAGTCGAGACATTTCTTATATTTGTCTCACAAAAAAGTAATGGCCGCATTTTGGAGCAAAATATTTCAATTACCTACTAATTTATAACTATATCGTACTTTCAAGCACCTACTGAACAAATTAGCTCATTATTATTCTAATTCATTATTTACATCCGTAGGTTACTTAAATTAAAGGAAGTTAATTTTCCCGAATTTCAATCTAAAATGAACAGTCTTTTTAACCTGAAAATCACTTTAAATATGTGAAGTAAATATTAAATTTTATAGGGGGAATACGAGCCGATAAAATGAACCTTTTAATAAATCAAAGCGCAGCTTAAATGAAGTTGTCGTCCCTTGTCAACCAGATATTTTGTAGGAAAATTCCATCGCAACAAAGGGAAACCCGAACTTTAAAGAGAAGAGCAAATTATGCGTGGCTAACTATTTGTCAGAACCGGCGAACAGACTGGAAGAATATCTTAAGATAACTCGACAAAGAAACTTATTGATGTCTATGTTCGAAACGTCTACAGTGCTAAAATCTTGCATTTACTGGGAAATAAAAGCAGCGTGCGTCTCTTTGGAAATAAATAGCCTCCTCGGCAAAGCGGACGCACGAGGAAATTACGGTTTAGTACCGAACTTATCCGATCTCAGATACATTATTGCGACTTACAATTGTTTTCATATCCGCTTTTTTCGCATTTTTTTAATCAATTTAAATACAAATTCTCCCTGATCCAGTAGAATAAAAATTATTTTTCATAAAATACAATTTATTGTATTCGAAATATTATAATCCAGGTATTGTGAATGTAAGCTCTTGTTTATTTAATTTCTTTTTCTTATTGAACAACCAGAGTCTAAAATCTTTAGAATCTGAAAGAAAAATCCGTATTATATACCTTACAATCTGTAAAAAAATATAAGTGAACAAGATTTCCTGTTTACGTCAGTTCATATACAGTTCAGTTCTTAGTAATAATTGAAATTTTCCCACAAATCTTGAGACAACAAGGGTAAAATGAAAATGAAGTTCTGGAATTTCAATTAATTATTAATCTGAACAATTAACTCTATCGCAGGAAATTTCGTGGATGCAAAATATCGTTCCTGCATAATTCCGACTTGGAACCAGCCCGACGAGAAATTTATCAATTTTCTAATTGCTCGCCTGTACATTTAGTGTTTCTTGAAGTTGACCGTAAATTAAAAGTTGTGACTTAAATAACTTAAAGTGGAGTTCCCTCGGAGGCAACTTCCATTTTCGCCTCTTGAGTTTCCGCTTCATCTCGTTTCGCACGCTTTTTTCAGACCCATTATTTTTCCGGGAGTACTTTTAGAACTAAGACCGCTCTGTAATTTTTCAAAATAATATCGTTAAATCAGTATTTGACTGCCGACTATGTCCTCGAATATTATTTGTGGAAGTCGGCGAAAAGGGAACGAAATGTTGGGTCTGTGAAATTTTTCTTTGTTCGTTTAACGACTGACATGTTCGCAGGACGCCCCGCAGGTACAGAAGTATGGATATTCAAAAAAAAGTCCGAAGTCGAAAGAGAACTTAATAAAATATTGCGTGCTATCTATAGAGAATTTATTCCGTTTGGTGACTTTGTTATCATAACCAAAATTTCTATTATTCAGCTACATAAAGATAGAATTATGAAAATATAAGTAAGTATATTTCTATTTAAATTAATTTATGTAGACCTAGGTATCCTCTAATTTCCATAAAAACAAAAAGTGTCAATTTTTAAACCATTATATTCAAGTAATATTGTGGTGTTAATTTTTTAGTCCATTAAATTAATATTTAGGTAAAGTTAGATAAGTATATTTAATCAAAAAAAAGCAATATAATTAACATTTAAACAAGAATTCGAGGTATAATTTTTCCTGTCGAAACACGTTTACACATTTTCTACGAAAGGTTTTTCCGGTTGTTTCGTAAATTTTGAGTGTTCTAATGCAAGACGAAATTAAATTATAAGCAAAATTGGCGAATTAAATGCCATTAAGCGGGTTTTAACCCAAATTCTACCGAATTAATGAATGCTATTGAAATTCTCTCAAGGGTTTTTAACAAAACAACGGTTACTTTATGTAACTTAACTAAATATGATTTAATTAACTTTGTTGGAATATTATTGTATCATCAGTAATTGGTAGAGACGTTACTAGTTTTATGGATTATAAGTATGCTTTAGTAGTTAGGTACTAACTCTAGGTACTGTTTGATTATACTATTACTTATGAGAAGTTATCAAAGTATTTTTGCAATTAATAAAATATGGATTATATATTTCTTATTATTCACTAGGCTCAAAATTGTAACAAATAATATGTAGATAATATTGATATTATAATTTTTAATTTTATATTTGATATCGTGCTCATTTTAAACACATTAAATTAAAAAAAACAAACAAGAACTTTTATTATTATGACAGTAAGCCAATATCGGAAAAATCCGGAAGAATAATTAATCATAAGCAGTGTAAAGTCATAAATCAGGCACACTTTTACTCCCGTTTAACATTCTTGACATAAATTCAAAGGGATTAAATGTATTTAAATACGTCTGAAACCCTTTTAATGACACTTAATCGTCCATTCTGCTCCTAATCCATCGCAGCCTTTCCAGTACATTCGATTGTCCAAAGCTGGAACACTCCAGTTAAAATGAAATGAAATCAAGGGCGCATCAACGTCATCGTCATTAACAACTTAATCTGCAACGTGGGGATTCCAAATTGACACGTTGAAACGAAATTACCACATATTTTCTTAGCAAAATTAACCAATCGAACTTTAGTTTCCGAATTCACCGATCGTGCGCCGCCGTGGCGCCACATGCGCAGGATTACCCAAGAAGGATATCTCCGTCAGTCGGTTTGCAGGACGAAACGGGCAATGTGTTCGTTTTAAGCGGACAGGTTTGATGTATACGAACTTGTCGAGTCGGTAAATATAAAAATTCGGTTACCGTCGGTTATGAGAGCGGTTAATTTAATGTAGTCGTTTAAATTATCCAAATATCGTTAAAAATAAAACTAGTTTAAGTAAGAATCTTACTATGTCGATTAAAATAAGTTAAATGTGTGAGTGTTAACAGAAAAAATTATCGTAACAATGAAAACCTGAGGTCGAGATCATGGTTGGTGTACTAAGAAAATGTTTGTTTCCCCTTTTACTTTTTCTTGTCAGTGATAGGCCTTCAAGTAGTGAGCCGATCGCGAACCCCAAACCTCAATTAACCTCGCGGACGGTTCGAACTAAATACGGTGATGTTAGTGGTGTTATTGTTACCCTCGATGCAAAACATCTCGAACCTGTTGAGGTGTTCCGTGGGATCCCCTACGCGAGTCCTCCCTTGGGTAGTTTGAGGTTTATGCCGCCGGTAACTGGTGCTTTGTGGCAAGGTGTGAAAATCGCTGATAGATTTAGTCCGGTGTGTCCTCAACGGTTACCGGATATTTCAAATGAGACCGCGGCTTTGAGGAAGATGCCGAAAGGCCGGCTGGAATATTTGAAAAGACTGCTGCCCTATTTGCAGGAACAGAGCGAGGATTGTCTTTATCTCAATATTTACGCGCCGGCTCAAGGTAAGAGCATTATAATTATATCGAAAATGATATCGTGCGCATGTTACGTTCAATGGGGGCCACATAATAAATAACTGAACACTTCTTCTCTCATCTGCACCTTTTAACTTCTAGTTTTTCGACATTATTGAAGAAAATTTAGCCAACTAGGTAACTAAGAGTCTGTTGATCACGTACGTCCCACAAACACACTTCCCCCACAAAAACATTCCTCTTAATATCTCTAGTAATTACAAATTTGAAAATAAGTAGATAGATTTAAAATATTATGAAAAATTGGGGATTGGTTTTGAAAGTTATGATTAAATCTGCTGCTCCACCCCTCGTATAACAGGTAAAGTTTTGTAAAGATCTCCACTCCTACATTTCTCGTAAATCAGTGCGATGTAAGTGAACATAAACAAATCAGAGGCGCATTTAGAAGTTCGCTTCCATTGGGGTGTATCTGGGATACTCAACAGAACATAACATAAAAGACATTCTTGATTCTGAAACTTATTAAACTAACTCAAGAAACTACCGAACTTCAGATTTACAAAGCGAATTCCTCAGAAATTTCAGTGTATGTGGAACGACTAATAAGGAGAATTGGTAAAATTTGAAGTTTGAAGTAAGGAGTTATGGGAAAGAGTTCCTATGGGAAGAATTTTGGTGTTAACGAGCATTAAATTTTCATCACATAAAGTATTAAATTTCTTATTTTATGACGCACGCTTAAATACTGAAAAGCTCTTTGGGATTATACCTATTAATTATTTATGAAATTACCTAATTTTCTTACTTTGCTTCACTTTTCTACCAATATTCAGGTCATAATTTCCATAACCTAAACATGTTTATATTATGTAGCTCTTGTACAAATTAACATTCAAATGTGAGTATAGGTACATAGAATATTCATATACATATTCTGAAATTTTACGTGTACCTATGGATAATACAGAAACTAATGTAATCATCAATGTTTCCCGAGTGTTAGGCATCAAATATATTCCGTTAACGCGCCAATCCTTTATCAAAAGCATCTAAAATAAAACGAAGGCTAGTATAATTTCCGCACTCGTCGGATCGAATTTCCATTTCTGCAAAGGATCCGCTACAACCATCAAGACAGGAATTGTACAATTTCCATATCTCCTTGAAAATACTAATTCACTGTAGCTCACAATAGGTTTACGTAAGGCTTAATTTTGTTTACCTTCTTGCTGTGCATAGTATGCATATTGCATAATTTCTTATTACTTGTGCAGTTGTTGCAGGAGTCTAATCCTGTCGTAATCATCTGCAAATACACGAGGGAGCGGACTTGTTCTCACACAATAACAGATTGTTAGATTTATGTGTTTACGTTCCGATTTTAATTTGATAAATTGCTCGAAAATCGTAAGAAATAGATTACAAGGGGAAAAGATACTTACTACACCAACGGGTCTATAATTTTATAAAAAAATGGTAAATTCGTCTGCGCATTGATCGTCTGCGGTTAAAATCATAAAAATTTAAACACTAAAGTGGTTTATTTAAATGTAGTACAATTTCAAAAAATGCAATTAACTAGTGATAAAAGCTTTAAAGAGACATGCACAGAAGTGTTTTAATTAAAATTGGTTCACCTGTTTGCGGCTGTGCCTACATATTTTGTACACTTTTTTAGGTTTAATTAAATTCAAAACTACAACCCTGAAATATTATTAATCGGTTTGGATATGTTAATTAAAAATCCAAATTTTAATTAAATCACATTGAACAATTAGGCAAAGGGGTTTTTGTCTTAAGCCGTTTAATTGTTTTATATAAAAAATTCTCCGAAATACTCCGTGATTTTTATGAGCAATACATTTAAATTTTTATCGATTTACCATAAATATTTACAAATATTTCGATAATAATCTGACAGTATCTTGCCACAGAAAGTTTTTCGAACAACTTGAATCGCAGGACTACATCAAGAACACTGAACTCGAACTCGAGAAATGACATCAAGAGCTCTTAAAATTTCGAAAGATTGAAGAGATGCTACTAATTTCTGCTCTTTCCACTCAACCGTTAGGGCCATCATACACATATTTCTAGAAGTAACAAAATATTGTATTAAGTACTTCGAAGTACTTTTAATCTCTGAAATTTACCGATTTGTAGTTTCGCTTTGACTGTGTTAAATATAGTATACCTACTTACAATTCAACGAATGAACTTCAGCAAACCTTGTTCTCCGTAATCAAATTAACTCCGGAGCGTTCACAATCAATCGAGAGAACGATTTTTCCTGATATCGCGTTTTTTTCATTCGGGGATACGCCATGGCGCGATCCGGGTTTTGAGAATCTGCAGGGGATAGGATCGGGCGTTAGCGAGCAGCTCTGATGGATGGTTTGTATCGGCGCTAGACAGACGTGAAACTGATGTATAGGCAAGTAGCAACGCCTTATTTACGAGCCAACTATCTAATACTGCCATATCTATGGTTGCGACTGTTATGAATGGCATCCAAGGGAACCAGCAAGTAAAGTTTTCCAACCTAGGGGAATGACGTGACCGGAAAGAGAACGGATTACTGAGCTATTACATAAGAGGATTATGAAAATAAATATTAAAGTGGGCACCTGACACCTTCGAACTTATGCTGAGTAAACTTACATAGTCGCTCTTAAATTTATTCACCAAGATTTATTAAGTATATATTTTCGGAAAAAATTTCAAAACCAAAGTTTAAAAAATAAGGAAGATTCTTACGAATACGCTTGTTCTTAATATTTTCCTTGTCAGGCTCATATTCCTATTTGTTTGTCATTTCACCCGGCCATTTCGCCCGGAAGAAAGTCTCCAGGAAAGTTCTAAGATTAAAAAAAAAGAAAATTAACCCCAAACAGTTCTTTTACAGTCAAGTTCATATACATTCCACACCACCACTCGATGACATTTGAAATTCAAATTGCCCTTCTCAACTTCGTTATTAAAAAGAAAACGTGAAGCCACAGTCATGAATCCTAAATCGCACCGATGCGAAATTATCAATCAATTCATAAAAGGAAAGAGCAGCATACGGGTTGAATTATTTATGGTTTGGTACATATTTTTTTTTTTAAATTGCGTTTTCGATTTCAATTTTACCGGCTGTTGTTCACCGATTAACTGATCCTTTTAATCCGGTTCTGCGAATCTGTAGACAGGGTTATGTTTATCAAAAACTGCGTTAATTTAAAGGCAAGTTAAAAAGAGCACAGAATTCCTCACATGATGAAAAGAGCTTAATGGGCAACAATTTTATTTTATATCCTTTTGTGACTGTCAAAGCCGTATTCTATTTAAAAGCTGTTCATGCCTCTTGTTCGACATTAATTATATCACTCTCAGAGAGTTTAATATTTAGATAATCTAGCTCAGAAACTTTTTAGACGTCGTTTAACAAAGGTTAATATTTTTAGTGTTTGTTCTGCTGCCCCTTATTTAATCATGATCTAAATTGGTAAAGTTTAATGAGTTTTGTGTATAGAATTATTCCGCTGAAATTTAATTTTCTTGATTATAAATCAAACTCAACTTAAAGCATATGTATGTGCCTAGCTCTTTACAAGTAATTTCCTTTTGTAATAATTAAAATGCATCAAATTAATATGCATAATACTCATTTAACTGACCTACATAATCATAGAGTCGTAAAGTGTAAAATATGTAGATACTTAAAGTAAAAACTGACTTTATGATTAATGTGACTTCACAATTTTGTAAAGAAATGATAGGGCTTAATCGAAGTTCTTAGCTTAACTAAATAATAAAAATGTCTAGTTACTTATAAAACATGATAATTTAAAATGGATTACCTATTATACCAACCAAGGTACATATTTATTTAACTATAATGACATAAACTCAATTTATAAAATAGTAAATTGAAATAATAAGTACTATCATTTCATTGAATTTATTATTGCGGAAAATATACCAGAGAACCATCCGGTTTTTAAATTAAGTCGAGTGACTTATTTCAGTATTCCAGTCACGCTTACGGAGGTCGTAAACAAGGCATCCTACGGAATTCTGGATAAGTCGAATAGAACATTTATTTTTAAGGTAACCTATATAGATATCAAGTTAATCAGAGTAACGCGAGTAGGTATACATTCAAATCATAATATGCATACCTACATAGGCCAATGAGCTGTAAGTTTGTTATAGTGATCAATAGCTTAAGCTAGGATGAAAACAAATTCAATGCCTAATATGATTTGGAACATCGATTTTATATCTCCAACGTTTTCCAAAATTTTCTTGATAATAGACTGGAGTAAAATAGTAAGAATATCGATTTAATTTAAAAATTATTTGATCAAATACACTATCCGAACTTGACAATATGTATTTCTGCCTGGCAGATTAGTAAGTAAATTAGTTTTGTTACGATTAACTTATTTAATTAATTAATTTCCAAATTAAATTTTATACGGTGAATTTGGAAAAGTTTAGGGATGAACCCAATTACAAAGTTGTTATTTAGTTTATACCAAACAAGAAACTCGAATGAGTATGTATGTCTATGTGTACGAATCAAAAGCGAATAGGTACCTGCCATTTTATTATGATCTTTAATAGATTACTTTGCTAACTTTAGGGCTAGCTTTTTATCTTATAGTTAGTTCCGTTTACTGAATAACTAGAAGAAACATTTGAATGTTAGGCTTTTTACTAAAAAGGAACTTAGAAGAAGAAAGGCCAACCTTTAATGAAGGAAGCCTTTAGGGTAAAAGTATACTTAATTCCCGTCTGCAAGGTTGTCATTTTATTAAATTAAAACCTTTTCAATAAGGCAATATTTACGGTAAACTGTTTAAAATAATTTGATCAAGGAAAATATTTTTTGCGTCGGCTAAATCAAATTACGTAAAAATACCTGATGAAAAAAATTTAATTTTAACATAGAGTGCCATTCGCGTAGAGCATACAAAGCATCCTGGCGATGCGATATTAAATTCCTCTAATAACGGTTTATTTAGCAGATAATGTGTCAACGGAATCCTTACGATGTAATTCGAGGATTATAGAACTGAGCATTAAAGGTGAAGTTTAACAATACTGTTGTCTAAGCAAAACTTTACTGTGACAGGTCAAGCGCTACGCCAAGTCGTTAACGTAATGGCCCTTTGTCAGTAGCGCACATTTCGAATACAAATGATGTGCGAGAAGAAATGCATTGCAGTCTGCAGAAATGCAGTAAAAAGTTTAGTGTTAAAAAGCGCATTGGATTTTTCTCGGTCATAAAAAATATATTAAATAAACTGTAAAATGTTGTACATAAATACCAATGTCTTTTTATTTCGTCTATGCATGAGAGAAACTGAATTTACAAAATTTTAATTATTAATGTTTAATTGTAAACGCTAAAATAATAAGCCAATATTGGATGTTTGATCTAGCGATCATTTGTTAATAATATATTAAAATATAATACAAAATACTAAAAAGGATGAGTCTCTGCTTACTACATACACACTGTATGTTTTCATTCGATAAATAATTGAAATTCAATGCAACATTTTCAATTACCAATAACCAAAACTAAATCCGAGACCAACCAAATTCTGAACTTCCTCTATACCTGTATGTTACGTTTACATACTTTTTCTAATTAAATTTCCTTGTTGCTAGTAATACTGTAATGGTAAAGTTTTTAGATTAAAGTTTGGTTACGAAGCTTTTGTCTCGTACGAAATACATTTTCATTTTCTCGTTTTCTTTAAAAGTTTCTTATCAACATGCCAAAATCAATTCGAAAATATTTACAAATTTAGTTACCTAACTTTAAATGATTAAATTTAAAATATACAATACATATACGGAGCATTTATTTACATAATAAACATTCTCAAACGTTAAAAATTGACACCACTGGACTGTAGGTTATGCTTTTGTACCTAATAGTTAATGTAGTAATTAGTGGGAATTTGTAGGAATATTAAAATTTTCCGTTTTCCAAAATAAAAAAAAAATGTTGAATAAAGTGCAAGTGCACTTTATATGAAAGTTATAATTTCTGTTTCGAATGCAAACATCAGATTCGCTAGGTTTCGGGGTGAAATACGATTTACCGCAAATATTTTACGGTTGATACAACCGTGTTTATGTGAAGTGTAATTTCATACTTGTAAAATAGTTTGAATATCTGAACAGTACGAAAATTTATGGAGATAATTCTTGCTATAAGTTCAGTTCTTAATATATTGTGAGGAAAGATCATCGGTTATTTTTAAGACAAAAATATAAAAAATACTGAAAAATTCGAAGTTACACGTTTATTTTATTTTTTCGTTGTGTAAAAATCTTTTATCGTAATAAATTAAAAACATATAAGTAGCGGAGCAATATATTTCTCCCTTACATATACTGCTATATAAGGTTATTTTTTGTTAAATTAGTTGAATGAGGTGTAAAAATGGCTAATTCCGATGAGAAATTCGTAAATTTTTTTTTGAATTATTTCCCTACATTATAAACAAAACCAAACGAACTTCACGCTTGGTATTCCCAAAATTACCAGCTGGTTATGTAAATAAACGTTGGTTTTATTTTACAGAGTTATTTTAATTAAAAATCTACTCCTATGGAGTTAATGTTTTATTGTATTTTGAAAATTCTTGATTTGCTTTTTGTGATCAATAAAGCCATATAACATTCAAATAGATAACTAAAAGTTTATTTATTAATTTGCTACATGAACAATTATCAAACTAAATTTACAAATGTAGTTAACCTATAATCAAATTAGTCTGGAATTTATAATTAATGTATTAATTTATTAAAATAATAAATTATAATTTATGCTTGTATATTTGTTAGTTTTAGATGTTTATTGATATATTAAACATACCTTTAGTTAAAAAAGAGTCAATTAAATATCATTACTGTACATACCGAGCGACCAAGTTCGAGCGCTGCATGCAATGATTCTATCTTTCTACTGATTGCAGCGCTCGAACCTGGAA